AGCGGACTGCCAAGCCATTATCGCACCAGTTACGACCCTCGGCGGTGATTATCAGGGCTGCTAGTTATAGTGCGTATGCAGTCGCGGGGACATTGCGAACTATGAATACTGTGTAGTCTGTGTATGTATCATCCTAATCTGTGCATATATCACCCTTTTTTACGGTTGTTTCTGATGAAGGGTTTAAGTAAGAATCCAAAACGTCAGCCAAATAAACTTCTCGTTCCGGCGATCGCATCTTCTACTTCTAGAATAAGTTTTCAAACAGTCAAACATCGTCAATAATTTCCTATCGTGAAAACATTTAGTTTGGTCGTACTCACGCAAATCAGTTTTCCAGCAGTATTTTATTGTACTTTCCCTGTGGAGAATATCGGCAGTATCTTCAAGGGCAATACAGCCCTAGTAGCCCTCCAAACAAATAAACGTGTCACCCTTTTTTCTTTCCTTACCCCTTCCTCCTGTAGGATCACAACAACAAGCCCGACCTCCCTCATCGCCGTAAACGAGAAGGCAGCATACCCACCATTACGGCCACGAGCCCAACCCCTGTTGTTAGCCTCAGGTCCATAACTCCAGTTTTCGTCGGATTTCGCAAAAGGAATACATGCTCCAACTCGTGTCGTCGGAGCCATGACAAACACCAAGGTCAACTGATTAATTTTCACAAGCACAAACGCGAGTACGCGGTCCTATCGAAGCTACTTGAATTGCAGCGTTCAATGCACCGGTTCAATCTGGTGGAGAACAAAGATTTCGCCGCCTGGTTGCGTGGCCTGCCCCTTCTGTCTGAGGAGGAAGCGTAAGTTTTCGGTCTCACTTGCACACCAGTAGACTGAGGAAGGAGTGGACCTCTGAAATGTTATTTTGGCCTCTGACTCTCTTACGAGGGTATTTAGGCTTGTAAGCGTCAAAAGGACAACTGGGACCTGCTTCTGGGGGAGGGGATTTGAAAATTTTACCAGAAACCACTAGCGAGACGCTGACCAGACTTAATGAGTTGGCTCCCATCAGCAACTTTGAGCAGCCGCGGAGTCGAAGAAACACTCATAGAGGCTCCTAACAAGTACTTTTATTGTTGGTCCAGTGGCAGATTTCCCATGCGTACTTATAACTCTTACATCCATACCTTTAACGAATGTAGAGTTCTACCGTTCAAAAGCAGTATTAGAGGAAACGACACACTACGGTTTTAAGATAACTTTATGCTTTTCTTTTTTAAACATAGACCCGTATCTGCTACTGCTCTCTGATTATGTCTCTGATGACGAATCCGCGAC